GCTGATGTAACAAAACGCACTTTATTCACCATCTACAACGAAATAGATGGCGAATAGTGTTGTGAATCAGATTGCAGTACTTGTGATACAATGCTTGTAGAGAAATGCTAATACTATCTATAAACACAGTCCGTTTCTCCCGTCAGCGGAGGATTGGGGTAGAGACGTTCCGGGTCCTCTCCAAAGGGAAAAAGGAAAAGAGAATATGTTGAGTCTAACTAGAAAACTCTAATTAAAGCAAGGTTATCCACTCTTGATGAGAGTCAAAATATCAACAGCTCCTAGTATGGCTTGTCTAGCGATCGATATCTGACGATCCACCCCAGCATAATCTTTGGTCTCGTCGAGTTTGAAGAGGATATCACTGACACCTGGAAAATTAGAAGCACCGTACAAATTGTACTTGCTGGGAGCAAAGATCACGTGACGAACCAGGCGTCTTTCCGGCAGGCCATAGGGGTGGATGAAAGCTCTCTCTACCTGGATCATTTGGTCATTGAGCCTGCGCAGTTCTGCAAAACTAGTCTCCTCGTACTTCTCGAGTTTTTCCTCGACTTTTTCCCTGAGTTTACAAAAGTATAACGTTTGAGATAAAGATTTTTTATGTTGAAGTTTTGAAAGCTCGTTTCTCAGAATGTTTGTGAACATCTAGGGAATTGGCTGGCTATTAATCGTGATGATGATGATGATAATCTTAATATTACTAATAGCAATAATAATCAATGATTATCATAATAATAAAAATAACACTAATGATGTTAATGACGATGATGATGATGATGATGATGCTAATGACAATGTTGACTTTAATTCCGTGCCAATGTAATAGGTTACGATACTTTAACCCTTGACCCTTATGAGAGGCTAGCTTCTAATTTCTCCCCTATGGTGCCACCCCTGAATCAAACATTAAGATCACGAGAGCAAAGGAAATGATTACCAATGAGAGAAGCTATTGATTTTTAAACAAATGCTCCTTGTTAGTATCCTAGGGAGTGTCTGGAGGACAGAATTTTGATTCGCTTTGTGATTGGTCCAGAAAACTCACGCCATCCTCTCAACCAATCAGACGCAGAACTAGAACCAATCACGATTTGGTCATCCGCGTTTTACAGTTTGCCTGGTTTTACTTTGAATTCTCATTGGCTAATGATGAAGCGAATCGTCGGTGTGATTGGCCGCTGAGATCACTTTGTTTTGTTTTCTTCAACGCTCATTTGAAAGATGCTTTAAAACTGAACTGATCTAAAACATTATGATTGTGTGCAACGCTCATATATAAGAATACCTGGCTGTGGAAAAGGTCTTCGCAGTGTCGTAGAACTTTTCAACTGCCATTCTTAAGTAGTCCATCGATCCAGCGTAGTCTTTCAGCTTCTTCGGGTATGCTGAAATCAGGGAATTCAAAGAGTTATTCAGAGCTTCGGCATACGTCATCACATCCATATTCAGAAGCGGTGCATCTGCGAATTGTAACAGTAGTCCGCCAGTAAGTTGGGTCATAGCCTTATGGAACAAGAATTTTGGATCCACGAACTTTACAGTCCAATTAAACGTATCGTGCTGTGAGTGGTAGACCGGGTAGAACACCGTTTTGTTTTTGTAGCCAAAAATGTAGTAAAAATCTGCTGAAGGGACGCCTGCGTACTGATAGAATGAGGCATAATCACTACCAGAACCCAAATTGCCAACAGCCGGTTTCCCTGGATTGTTTTTAGACGGGTTGCGTTCGAGTGAAATATCGAACACGGTTTTTTTGTCATCGTGTGCGTTGGGATCGTCCACCTTCTTGCTGAAATCCACGATGGTGTTCTTGACCAACGGACTGCCGGAGGCTATCAGGACGTAACTGCCAGACACAATTGTGTCGGTATTAAGGTAGACCACGGCTCGCTCACCAAGCTCTTTCTGGTGCTGCTCAACCCATTCCGTTGATCCAATGAGACTGTATTCTTCTCCTCCCCAGCTGCAGATCTGTTGATTTGAACAGAAATTTAATTTAGGTTTTTAGGGTAAAGCTTTGGTACCGGCTTGGCTACCGACCAAATATATAAACAATGCGACATCTCCCCCGCAATCTTAATAATTAATACAATTTTGCGAAGCTCAAGATTTTTTCATCGAACGCTTGGAACAAATGTCTCAAACACTTTTCTTCTTTCAGGATTGGTTTTAATCGGCTGTCGACATAACAAAACAAGAATGATCATATAGGCAAATCTGAACAAAGATTAAGATCCCACCCGCCTATGAGAGCTCAAGTTAAAATCTGGAATTCGTCAAAAGCCCGGGAAAACGCGGGTGACCTAGTCACGATGGGAAACACGATTGATGTTACTTTTGCGTCCGATTGGTTTAAATAATGGTGTAAGTTTTCTACTTCAATCACAGAGCGATGTAAAGCAAAACTAAGGTAATTCCGTATTACTTTCGATATTCGATTGAAAATTACTCCATGAGAATATGTTTCTAATTGTCTCACCTTGATTGTTCGACGTGGCCTCCATCCTGTTTTTAACAATTCTCCAAGCACACGGCCGATCTCAGCGGTCGCAGAGGTCCCGGTAGAAGCGTCAATTGCTCCGTGCACCCAGGCATCTCTGTGATTACCAATGAGCACGTACCTGTCCGGTTCCTCCTTCCCGTAGATCGTTCCTATTACATTATAAATGGGCACTTCTTCCAGGTTGTTACTGACATTCAATTCAACTTCGACTTCGCCCCTGTTGAACTCTGGTCCAAGATGATAGGTGATACCAAGGGTTCCTTTCCAGTCTTCAGGCACCACTGATCCTAAAAGCGTCAAAAAGCACAAGAGATTATGCCTTGAACCTGATATAGATGCTTTAAGAGGTATATAGTGCAAGGTCTTTCTAGACTATTAGAGCCGATTGTTGAAACTAGGTCCAATTTAAGCCGCGGTTTTTGACGATCAATGGTTTTCCAATGTTCCTCAAAGGTGGGGTTTTGAAGTAACTAGATTTCTGCTTCAGTGTTAATTAGAAGCCCTATTAACAGTTTGGCGAAAAAGATCACCGTTTTGGTGATATTCATGCTTGATTTAAGATTGTTTAGAGTGCGATTTGGTTGAATAAGGGATGAACCTTTTTTTGATAACCAGCTCTTAGTCTTTAGAAAGATTTTCCAGTCTTGAGAAACGCTCCCGGCAAGTTCTCAAAACATCCTTTTTGACAAATTATAAAAGAGGAAAATCGTTCAGGAAGGACTAAAGAAGTAACTACGATTGGATTGAGTTTCACTTGCATGACTTGAAGTGTACTTAAGGACATGGGCTAGAACTCGGTTGAAAACCGATACGCATGCACTCGAAAGTGCGTGAGCATGATTGATGTTTGGAAATTTCATATATTTTTTTCCTAATCGATTACCTGACATTTCTTGCAAAAATTTAATGGCATCTCCGTATCCCATAGGATGCGCTGGGATTGGAGGAAGCTCACTTTCATTGTGCGGCCTTCGGTACATCCCTGTAAGTGCTGCTATACCAGGGGTTTGGGGGTCTCCACTCCCAGGCATTGTATACAGGGATCCCCGCTGCACCCCACTGGCAGGAAGCCACGCCTTGTTAGGGTAAGTATTCTCCTCCTCTCCACCCTCCATGGCGTAATCCGCTGGGTCCGAGTAAAGGATGGCTCCTATTGCACCGTAGCTATGCGCATTAGCAATCTGAAAAGAAAAATTAGTTCGTTTTTATTTTGTTTGGTTTTTCCTCAACAAAAAGTGTTAAAAAGAAGGATCAAGAGCTGTGACAATACAACTTGAGCAAACACGTTATAGTTCCAAAAGTTTTAACAGAGGAACAAGTTACCACGGGTGTAATTTCTGAGTTCAGTCCGAGCTAAGAGGGTTCATTTTGACGCCTCAAACTGAATAACCCAAAGAGAGACCTATGGTGCTTTCCACGTTGAAGCTCAAACGTCAAATAAAACCCCATTGTACGCTCCTATGTACTTGAATCTTTGGCACTTCTGGAGTTACCTTATTTCCCCGGTATATTTTCCCATATCTCATGATGGCAATTTTTCCGGTCACATTGACGCTGAGATTTTTGAGCTGCATGAAGTCGCTAACCTGACCATAATTAACGTATACAAGTTCACCCTTGACATGCCCGCTCGGACTGTAACCAAGGAAGGGCTGAACGACTCCAGGTTGTGATCCTCCCTCCTAAAACGTAAAAAAAAAAAATGAATGCCAGTAATTCAGAGATGAGGAGGTTGAGCCGAAACAGTTGATCCGAGCTTTTCTCCGGCCCTTTTTCAATTGTTATGGAAGACATTTTTAGAGTCCGACTTCCTGGTCTCCTGGGGGAAAAATATTTCGCATGCACCCCGCGTGTTCCTGGAATGTTACGCTGACACAACACTTCGGTAGCCCCATGCGTGCGCATGATCAAGATTAGTACGCGCGAGCGACACGTCATGTGCAAGGGTCAGAGAGTGTCTGATATCTTTCTCGCTTGGGTTACTTTTGTTATCGCTGAGTGCGTGTAAGTAAGATTGGACTGTCCACATGAGCAAGATGTTTCACACTGGACTAGTTACCGATACACACTCCTACATAACATAGGAGGGTATAACTTAACGATAAGGGCAACTATGAGTGATTCTCTCTCTCAGCTTTAGTGCGTGGAGCTCGAGAATGATTCGACTACTCTAGAATTTGTGATTTGAAGTTTTTATCTGTCTTCCTTTAAACTCCTGTAACATTACACACAGAGATATTGTTCCAACATTGAGATACTTAGAAAGCTGTCTCGCAGATAATAGGCGTTCTGTAATCGATGAAGGTAATAGGAACATCTAGTCTTTTAACTGCAAATCAAACTACTAAAGAGCTACTAGAAATGCCTTGTGGTTAGTTAGGAGCCTAAGTTTTCAAAGATTACGCGCACGATTTTTAAACTTCTTTGCGCTCCCTGCAAATAAGTTCATCCGCAGCCCCAAATGTAGAACTTATGTAAGCCCATATGATTCGTACCTGTTCTTCTCCCTTGACTTGGTAAATGACAGTACCGTTCTTGTATTTGATAGTAATCCTCGTTTTCTTGATTAAGTCTGGTTTAGACAACAGTGCGTGATACTCTGGCTTTTCAACTTTATCAAATCCATATTCCTTAAAACGCCTTTCAAGTTCGTCGGCAAGTTCTTTCTGGCGTGGTGAGCCCGCGATATGGGGTTTTTCAGAGAAATACCTGTAGAAACGAAGGCAGAACTTTTCTGTATAAATTCGATAATCTCTTTATATCAACCCGCTTGAAGCATGGAAACTTTATTTCATCTTCCCTCCCCTCCTCCCCTTATGATCTTCGCACTCACCTATGATAATAATTGTATTTACTTGAAATTTGTTCATTGCTAACCTTTTACAGTCTTTATACAGTAAATAATTTGAATCCGGGAGTAACGTTTGATCGTGAAGTCTTATCGTCGGGGTGAGAGTAGCTCTGACAAGGGCTGTTGTTGGTTGTAGCAACCGACGTTTCAACAACCTGAGCGGAAGTCACCATCAAAGTCAAATGAAGTGCTGTTGTCAGTCAATTGTTATAAGTCCGGTTCGTGTTAACTGATTGATCTGTTTAGCCGTGACCTTATTGGCTGTAAGACTCAAGTGGTGTAAGTCGGTCGTGATTGGTCAGTCAAAACCGTACTTTTAACACTCGACTGAAAACAACTCTTCACTTGACTCTGATGATGTCAGTCATTAATACTGATATAAGGCCTTTCCTAGGACTACTCTCCCCCGGAAGATCAGACTGCACGATGAAATATAATCTTAATGTTATAAAATTAATTATTCCTTCCTGATATGAATGATTCATGAATGATAACGATGTTTTACTAATCACAGAGTCATGCACGTGCAGCATTACTGTATTTTGAGCTGCGCGCGTGACTCTGAAGCTAAGTCTCCTGTACCGAGTATCCACCTTCGTTAATAGCTGTACAAAGTTTTTTAAGTCCCTCTCGCACACCCTTCTCCTTTTTGAACTGAATCGCCGGGCAAACATGTAGATAATCACTTTTTCTTAAGGTGAGACGATCGAACCGGCGCGAAAGACATCATACGCGAGGAAAAAGTCCCTCTTGAGCGTCTACTCCCAGTGCTTATTGGCTATTTATAGTCCATAAAATCCATAAAATCTGCGCTCTCAATTATCTTTACATCCCATGCGATACTCTACAAATATCTCATGGATCACGAAAGGGATTAATTTTCAATAAGGGCTTTGAATTACGCTTATGTACTTACCATGCAAGTACATAATAAACAGAAGATCCCAGGGAAAAATTTCCATAATTCTTGCGTTATCTAATCAGGCAGCGACAATATATTTAGTCGAGGTTAAGAAATTACTACTCTAGTGAGCTTTGGCAAACTACCATAGATTGATTTATTCACCAGATTACATCCTTTGTAAATTTGATTAAACTGAAACACTCAAAACGACTCGGAAGCAGCCGGAGCTACTTGCATAATAAAATTTAATGGAAGTGCATTTGAAACCGATTGACTTACTTGAGGTTCCCTTCGAGGGCTTCTGCTTTGACAGTCGATTGGAACATCTCATGAAAGCGCATCATATCCTTGTGCTTTTTTTGCATTTCGGCTTTCTTATCGTGCCCATTTGGCCGCTCCTTTTCATGGTCTTCTCTTTTAGTTTTCTTTGCAAAGTATCCGATCAAGAACCCAATGATAAATACAAGAATAACAGCGACAATTGCACCGATACAGCGAATCCTTCGCTGCTTTTTTTTGTTCTTGTATGTCAGCTCAACAGTATCATCCATTGCAGTAACGTAGCAGTGATTTGGGCCGAGCTACGGAGCAGATATTAATTGTGAAATGACACCAAATGCAAGGAGGACAACGCCTTTTAGATAAGTCTTGGTCAAGAATTACTGGCGCAGCCGAAATGTTATCGTTCATTGCACAGCTTTTGTTATGCAAATCTATTGCTTCAAGTGCCTTAATTCAATTTGGAACAAATGGAACTTTGCGTGACTTCGTTGCTTTATTTATAACAGTATCGCTTACATAAGAAATCTGTTGTTTGGCTGTTCCGCTTGGATTTCCTAAATAGCCATAATAATTAAAGCATTTTAGTATGACCGCTAGCTACAAGATAATAAGGTCAACGCGATTAAATGGCATCCGACCTCCAACACTAACAAATGTGCATTATTTAAACAACACCATCTGACTACTTCGGTTTTACACTAAGCTTAATCTACAAATTTCAATTGCTATGGCAACTAAAACTTCACTTGGGAGAATGCTTTAGTGCAATATGACCTATGGTTGGGCCTCTTTTATGATAAAGTGCCTTTCATAGTGCCTAAGGGGCTGTGCAACGAGCTAGACGCAAGAAGAAAAAGAGCTCTTTGTTGTTTATCCGCCGCCTTTGAAGTGTTATCTGCAGGGAAGACCGTGCCCTGAAGGAGTTATTGTAGACAGATCAGAGGGCTTAAAAACTGAGAGTCATTAAAGAAAAAAATGTTTTGATCAAGACGGCCACTCAGGGCAAAGAGCAATATTCTAAGGAACCGAAACAAATTTTGCAAATGGTTTGAAGCGCGGGAAAACGCGTGTGAGTAAGGCGCGGTTGGTTATTCCGTTTCTGATTGGTTGACATCGTGATGCAAGTTCGTTAAACCATAACAGTGCTTAGCTAGGCAATGCCGGTAAAATCCCTGAAAGTGGAAATCTGTTTGGTCAGCTTATCCTTTGTTTCCACTAGACTGCTTTTCGTGTGCCACAATCCCAGAGTTCGGCGGGAGCGCTAACATAATTTTTTTAACTCACGCGACGGACTTTGCCGTAAAGGATGGACAGATCATATTCTATTGTATTACTTACGGGGACCTCAAACCACATGACGAAGTAAACAGTGCGATCTTAACACTCAGACATACTTAATTGACTTTCTATAAATAACAGACTTATTATTTCTGCCGTCGATTGTTATGGCAACTGTCAAAACATTCTGACTTTTTAACATTGGTTACAATTTTGACCGCATGCTAAGTAAACACATTTTCAAAACTTACATCTAATCTTTTATCTTGTCTATTTCACCCGTCTGAAATTCATGGTAATTAGCAACTTACTTGAGACAACTCCTATTGCTTAGTGTTTAAGGTACCTCGCCTACAAATTTCTTTTGTGAATCTATTTTACTATACTTTGTTCGTACTTTCGTAGGTGAACAATAAAATCTTAAATTCCTTCATACCTTCGAGCTTACATTTAATGATAAGAAAAGAAAACAAATATGACAGTTGCAACATCTAAACGCTGACAGTTAGAATACTTTATCAGTGGCACTCGTTCTCAGATTCTCTGAGATAGCACGCTATGCATCCATGGATAATTTCCTGCAAATTGCAGTATTACTAATATTTGCGCTTGCCGTTTTACAGAGTACGATCGTATTTTATTATGTCCCTATTGGCCACGGAACGATCCTCTTATACGGATGTTGATGACAATAACAATAGCTTCCTTCGAACCGGTCTTATAGGAAACAGTTGGTTGCACAACGTACCTACGTGTAAACGGATTAACCCGCAAACCGCAAATTTCAAGTACACACCATGTTTAGAGTACATACTTGAAGGCATATTTTAAAATAAAATCTCTGATTGCGAGCCACCCTGCATGATCAGTCAAGGATAGTCATGCGATTAGTTCATAATTTTCGCTATTGCTGTGCGTTTGCGGTTCAGTTGGCAAATGACGAGAGTCGACGAGAATTTCATGGTGTAGTATTAACGACGAAAAAACGCAGAAGGTCGCCTCGAGAATTTATTTTTGCTGTTGATAAAATAGACGACACTAATTCTCTTGCATACAACTAGTATCTAATTTTTCCGAGGTTAGCTTGGAGCCAAATGGAGCCATGTATGATAGACTCTCACTATACAATAACTGAAAAATTAGGTCTTTGTTAGCTGAAACGCAAGTAGATCTAACGAAAGTAACCTGATTCGACGCTAGGGCGGCAATTCGAGTCCAATACTTTGCAACTCCTTTATGGCATGGCTAAAAAACTACACAGTAACAAGA